CACTGAAAGTAGCATTAGAGTATACTTTGGTGTGCTTTTCTCGGTATGGGGTGCTAAATGAGTACCTGCCTTAGCAACCACCTGAATTAAACACCTTCCTGTCTGATGTGACCAGCGCGATCATCATTTCTGTGTCCCAAACACCAAAAATGAACAAAAGTTAAAGGAAATCAATTTGCTTACCAGAAAAACAAATCAAATTACTATTTTTTTGTCTTCAAACAATTTCTGCAAGAAACAAATCAATTTTGTGCATCAGAAAGTTAACATCCATGTCTAGATGTCTCAAAATACTATGTCAACTGTTAATGTCAAATGCTGCTTATTATCACATTTCCCACTGACAAATGAAACATGATATAAAGCAGTTTCCACTGTACCAAGACAATATTTGAAATAAAATTTGTTACACTTTTACAGAAGTCTAATAAAAGCAATGTTTTATGAAACTTTCTAAGATATTTCATGAATTTGATAAAAAAAATAAAGAAAAAATGCAATTGAGAAGCTTTGAAAACACATGGCTGTGGAAAAAGTTTAAAAAGTCTATGTCAGAAATAAGGAAGAAAAAAGTACGATATGTCATGATGGCTCGCTTTAAAATTTATATATTTTTTTGTACATTAAGTTCAAATTAGTCGGTACTTGATGTAGCATTAAAGTATACTTATCAAGTACTAGCATACACTTGTAAAGATTTTGATACATGTATGTACATGGAATTTTCAGAGTAAAGAAAGAATTGTTAATACATAATTCATGATTCTGAAACTACCTCTGAGGCAGGATGAACTGGCTGATTTATATATATTCTCATCACAATATTTGTGGTGCATGCACATAAATGTATGTGCATAATTGGGGCAAGCTGTTATTAAAACCTTATAACTGTAACATGTTCTGTTTTATCTATTTTGTAATTACAGCAGATTCATAAAAGAAACTAACAACCATTTAACACCTGTAGTCAATTACTGACATGAAGGCTAAACAGTACCACAAGTTAGTTATATAGTCCACATTCATTTTTGTTGTCCTTTGTCTGGATGGGTTTGTTTTGAGAGACTGGTTGCATAAAAACTACGCTTTTTTCTGCCACTTCAATTATTGTGATACAATTTCAGTTTGGTGTGAACTTAAAATTGATAACTTAAATTGTTACTGAGGACATATATTGAAATATGATAAAATTTAGTTATTTTCCAGAAGATTTCTGATTTTTGTGATACAATAATAAAACATCTACCTTTCATAACGAATCAATCGTTTTTAGCTCAACAGGCCCAAAGAGCCAAATGACCTATTGGCATATCACAGCTTCCATCATCCATCTGTCTGTCTACTTTTTCTATAGATTGCTATCAGTCATGAATGAAGAGCAGATCTTGAATCAAATTTTGTCAGAAGCATCCTTTAGGGAAGAGGAACAAATTTTGTGTAAATGGTGGGTCTCCGCCCTAGGAGACTGATTTGATTTTAGTTTTGTGATTAAAAAAAAAAGTTTTAAGTGATAGAAATATAGTCATTAAATGAAAAGTTCAAATTTTGATCAGTATTCTTTGTCTTCAATGTATCCTCATTGCTTTGCATTAAGATATGTTAGTCTGCATAATTCAAAAATATGTCCAGCTTATTACAAATTTCAGCAATGGGGATTGATATGTCTTTAGACAAGTGATTTTTTGTTTGTTATAGAAATCAATATAGTGGTCTCTGTATTATATGGTCAGTCTGTGATTACGACCTGATATAATCTCATACTGAATTGACCAGATGTAAAGTGAGAATCTTGGCTTTGATTTAGTTTGACAAGTACCACTTGTAAATAAAGTCTAGGTAGTAGGTGTTAATTGGAAGAAAGAAAAAGCTGCCAATTTCTTTTTTTTTTTTGCTATTGATTTTTTACCAGTGAGTCAGACAGGAAGGTTCACAACAGGTGTAAGCCTAGAGTTTTCGGAAAGTTAATTAAAAGATTTTCAACAAGGATATTCAGTGGTTTTTTTTTTAGCTCACCTGATCCAAAGGACAGATCTTGTGGGTGCAGTACATGACAAGTTCATTGGAAAATCCACATAATATGAATTTGATACTGCCTATATATATATACACGTCAATTACACATATCTATATGTGTACCCATACAAGTAAGATATTATGCTGAAAATTTACAAAATATTCAGATTTTTGAGATGTTAGATATGCATTAATTAGGCAATATGTGTACCCATATGAGTAAGAGATTATGCTGAAAATTGATATAAAGTAAAGATTTCTAGACATTAGTTATGCATTATCCTGACATGTTGATAGTATATCATCAAAAAATAAAAATAGGTGCCACAAAAATGAATTTCCACTTGGTCATAACATCGGCAGGCATGACTTAGGTACTATTTATACAGGTAAGACACATAGGTAAAAGCAGGAAAACTTACCTGTGTACCCTTTGACCTTCCAAACGTAAATATTATTATCAAACTTTATTTGCACACACGAACAACAGGAAATTAAATCCACCTACCCAGCCTTGATGTTTGTCATCAATTGATAAGTAATGGTATGGTAGTTATTTAATTGATATAACAGACGTAGGTATGGTGGGTATATCTGATGTCCAGTTCTTGGCTTGATTGGCCTAATATGACTTTAAAGCCACAACCAGTGAGACAGTAAACCCATTTTAATTTAATACTGTGACACAAACATTTGTTCAGGTTAGTTTGTATTTCATTTTAAATGTTAGAGACATAAACACTTTCGGTCCTGTGCTTTAATTCATGGAAATGAACCCAGGTGTAACAGTGTTTTAAATAGCTTGGTTTACACATACTTAAAGATTGGCAAGGTTATATACATATACTGAATAAGTTTAAACGTTATTGATGTTATTTTGGTTTTCCAAATTTGTGAAGTGTACTGTTATATCAATACAGAAACAAGTCATATATATACCTAATTATATATACCTTTACTCGATAATTGTCACTATCAAACTGACATCAAAGTCACGCCTGAATAGTCATGATAGTGAAGTTAAAGGGGTTGATCCGCTGTTAAATAAGAGGGAAAACTCTTCCTGCCCATAAGAACCATTATGATGACCTGATCGCTCGACTGATCACAACAATAGTGGGAGCGTTAGTCATAGCGAGTGGGCCAGAAAGTTTTGTCTACGTACACAGAGCCAGTGTACCTGTGAAATTTGTATATGTGATACTTGACATACCATTAAAATATGGAGAGTAAAGGATTGACGTGTACCTGGTGATGAACTGACTAGAGAGGTTTTGGTGACTGGGATGGTAAATAGTTTTTAATCTTGTCACTGTCTTACCTGTAAACTGTTGACAATGGATCCTTGTCTGTGATGTTATAACCTGTAACTGTGACACTAACATAAGTTGATGTTTAATATCAACAATTAAAGACAGTCATATCAGGTTGTTAATACTGAAAGGAAGACTGCAGATCAAACAGTATTCAACTGGGAACTTTATGTGAAAAGTTACATTGTTATATTGTTTTGGAAATTCATATGAAAACAAATTCAACATATTATAAACCAGGACTTATTTTGAATGGATTACCCAGTGTGACAAAATCAAATTCAAAACAAGGAAATACATGACTATTACTTTCATTTTTATGGTAGCAGATTTGTACTGTTACTCATTGATGTTACGAAGAGGATATATTGAAAAATCAGTATTAGATCCAGTTTTACTGCTGATGTGTTCAGTAAGGCTTTGGTTGTTAAGTTGTCTGCATGAATTCAACTAAAAAATTCTTCAATCCTGATTGGTCAGATCAACTGGACAACACATGTACAACCTGGGACTGATTGACCAGGCTATACAGTAAGATAGCTTGCCAAATGAGCAGAGTCATGCATATTCCATACAGAACCAAGGTGCAGACATGTGTCTTCAATTAACATTTTTCTGAAACTTTTACGAGGTAATTTTATGATAAATTATACTTCAACATATGTAATTATTTTGATTCTGTGTGGAAGGAGAGGACCTCATTCTTGTGGACATTTCTGTATAATAAACACATGTACCAAGTGCTGTGTACCACAGGGACCTCATCAGAGAGAACTATAGTAGTCAGGGACAGATTTTCTCAGGGAGCATTTGATTCACAATCCTCACTGCAACATTTATATACATAACAAGCATGTGTTCACAGCCTGCCATCTGGCAGTGTTTTCCTCTTTGTGTGTAGACAGTTACATGAGAAAGCTTACATTGATTGAGTTTGGGATTGACTGCATATATACAGAGCAAGCTCCTGGTCCTACCCATCCTGACAACAGTATTTGTTTCTAGTGAGACTGCAAATCCAAATTGTTTCTACTAAAGTCTTTATTGGTAAACCAAGACAGGTGAGACAGACACAAACTGTCACATTTGGATTTTGTTATGTGACTGTGAAGAATTATTGATACCATACTATTGACTATTTGATGAAACACACAGGTTTACTGTACGGGATTTATGTCAGCTGGGACTGTTGTTATGACTGGATCGTCTCTATATATTGCCTAATGGTATGTTTACTGATGTAACATGTTTAACGATGTGATTCATATTCTTCTATATGGAGATATACTAAGTGTTATTGTCGGTAAAGACATCAATTAAACACTATATTAGAGTGTCAATTTTATGCGCGTGACTAGCTTGCCGAGTGTTTGGAGATATTCAGGGTTTTGCATTTCTTGTTGATAACAGTTTTATTTCCCCTTACAGCATCAATATAAAGTTATTTTTAGATTTTTCCACCTTCCAATAAAATCGGTGCTGAACAGCAGTTGTGTAAATAAGAACTACTTCAAAGAAAGAGGCACTGTTATATGTTTTACTGAGCTGAGGATTTACCTGGAGAGGAGAGAATGTGTATTGGGGTGGTATAGGTTTGAGGTCAGAGTTCACGGTATCATGTTAGAGTGTACCAGTGTGTAACAGCATTAGTGGCTATTTGTTGAGGAGCAGTTTGCTGGCTGTGTTGTTCCATCATCTCCCTACTGCCAGCGTGCCTTTGTGGTAGAGAGTTTTACATCGTATCTCAAGCTGAATTGATGAAAAGTGGATAGTGATTAGAGGCCTAACACAAATTTGTGTGGTAAGGATGTGAACCTAGCATGATCTCACTCATATTATATTATTGTACATCGAGGTATGGAAGATAGCCGAAAGCGGTCTGGTATATCGTATAGCCGCCTCCGACACCAGTACTCCTCCGGTCCGTCTGCCAAAGAAAGCACCAAGTCTGGTAGATCTCGCAAAAATACTGCTGCCAATCGGGTCTGTAATCAGAGCATATTTGATCTCCAATACTGTGATATACAAAATGATTCATCTCCACATAGTCATCTGAAGTATGGATTCCTTGACGAGGAAGATTTTGAGGAGTTTAAGCTGGATTTAAAAAATTTCAGCCATCTGAAAGAAGAGTTACTCGAGGATTTTAGCTTGTTTAAAAGTGATAATAAACCTAAACTTCTCACAACGGCAGAGACTCGCAAAAGTAGTCACACGGCAAACGATCCACTCATGGAGTTTCTAAATAGTGATGAGCACTTTCAGGAGTTCGAGAGAGTGTTTGAAACATTTAAAAGTAACCGGTTTTCAGATAGCCTTGACAAACTTCGGTGGTCATTAAACAGGTACGGAGATGAAGAGGAAGAGGAGGAGGAACCAAATAATGAGGAAATTGATGATAAATGTGATGTGTTTGAGGAAGAGTTAGATGATTCTCAAATCGAGGATTCCTTCACGGAATTTTTTGACCATGATGAGGATTTCATGGCATTCGAGAGAGAATTTCAAAATCTTAAAAAAGTGAAAAGACGTTCTAAGGTGCTACAAAGGATAAATCGTAATTCAGGCTGTGATATTGTTCAGGAATTAAAGGCATTCTGTGATAATGATCCTTCCCTCAAGTATGATGTGAGTCCAGGGGAGGAACGAGTATGGAATTCGGGCGGGGAATGGGATTACATATTCAATAAATTAAAAAATGATAATCATGTGTTGCTACCGCCTAGTGCATCTGGGAGTCTACGCACATGTACCAGTATTAAGGAGGACAGTATAGCCGACTTTGATACAGGGTTTTATTGTAGTGCCAAAAATCAAGACCTCGATACTTGCTCAACACTTACAGATTTATCAAATTTAGAAAATGGTAAGTATTTTGTAATAATGTTGATTTTTCAATATTAGGATTTATAGATGTGTATATAGTACATATCATTGTTGGTAGAACATTTTTACTTCTCTGCCACAAAAAAAATAGCCTTGTCAAAAATAGCCCTGTCAAATTCACAAACTAGATAATCAGAATATAAGTACACTGCTTAGGAAAGTTTGTGCTTATCAAATTGCATTTGCCAAAGGCCAGACACATCATATCAATTATCTAGGGGTTGAAACATAATATAGTGCTAGTTTGCTGGTTATGAGGGATTATGGGGTTGAACCTCATCTGTGTTGTTCTGAGTAGTTCTCTGTGGTTTGGGCCTGGTTGATAATTATACTTTGTTTACATTTGTACTCAGACACATCACACTTTGTGAATGGTAATCTCCCCATCAGAGATAGAGCTTTAGTCAGTGTGGAAGTCTATTTGATGTGTAATTCAATTACTTGACTGAACGATAGTGATAGCTTAACTAATTCTTATTATTCTTATCTCCCTCCTCTCTACCCCATTAAAGAAATCTGGTATAATTCTAACAATAACTTGACCTTTTCTTGTAGGTCTGATAATTCTTTATATCCCCCCCACTCCACCCTCCACCCCATTAAAGAAATCTGGTATAATTCTAACAATAACTTGACCTTTTCTTGTAGGTCTGATAATTCTTTATATCCCCCCCCCCTCCACCCTCCACCCCATTAAGGAAATCTGGGATAATTCAGACAATAACCTGACCTATTCTTGTAGGTCTGATAATTCTTTATATCCCCCCCCCACTCCACCCTCCACCCCATTAAAGAAATCTGGTATAATTCTAACAATAACTTGACCTTTTCTTGTAGGTCTGATAATTCTTTATATCCCCCCCCCACTCCACCCTCCACCCCATTAAAGAAATCTGGTATAATTCTAACAATAACTTGACCTTTTCTTGTAGGTCTGATAATTCTTTATATCCCCCCCACTCCACCCTCCACCCCATTAAGGAAATATGGTATAATTCTAACAATAACTTGACCTTTTCTTGTAGGTCTGATAATTCTTTATATCCCCCCCACTCCACCCTCCACCCCATTAAAGAAATCTGGTATAATTCTAACAATAACTTGACCTTTTCTTGTAGGTCTGATAATTCTTTATATCCCCCCCACTCCACCCTCCACCCCATTAAGGAAATATGGTATAATTCTAACAATAACTTGACCTTTTCTTGTAGGTCTGATAATTCTTTATATCCCCCCCACTCCACCCTCCACCCCATTAAAGAAATCTGGTATAATTCTAACAATAACTTGACCTTTTCTTGTAGGTCTGATAATTCTTTATATCCCCCCCCCCCCTCCACCCTCCACCCCATTAAGGAAATCTGGGATAATTCAGACAATAACCTGACCTATTCTTGTAGGTCTGATAATTCTTTATATCCCCCCCCCACTCCACCCTCCACCCCATTAAAGAAATCTGGTATAATTCTAACAATAACTTGACCTTTTCTTGTAGGTCTGATAATTATTTATACCCCCCCCCCCCCACTCCACCCTCCACCCCATTAAAGAAATCTGGTATAATTCTAACAATAACTTGACCTTTTCTTGTAGGTCTGATAATTCTTTATATCCCCCCCACTCCACCCTCCACCCCATTAAGGAAATATGGTATAATTCTAACAATAACTTGACCTTTTCTTGTAGGTCTGATAATTCTTTATATCCCCCCCACTCCACCCTCCACCCCATTAAAGAAATCTGGTATAATTCTAACAATAACTTGACCTTTTCTTGTAGGTCTGATAATTCTTTATATCCCCCCCCCCCCCCACTCCACCCTCCACCCCATTAAAGAAATCTGGTATAATTCTAACAATAACTTGACCTTTTCTTGTAGGTCTGATAATTCTTTATACCCCCCCCCCCCACTCCACCCTCCACCCCATTAAGGAAATATGGTATAATTCTAACAATAACTTGACCTTTTCTTGTAGGTCTGATAATTCTTTATATCCCCCCCCCCACTCCACCCTCCACCCCATTAAGGAAATCTGGGATAATTCAGACAATAACCTGACCTATTCTTGTAGGTCTGATAATTCTTTATATCCCCCCCCCCCCTCCACCCCATTAAGGAAATCTGGGATAATTCAGACAATAACCCGACCTTTTCTTGTAGGTCTGATAATTCTTTATATCCCCCCCACTCCACCCTCCACCCCATTAAGGAAATCTGGGATAATTCAGACAATAACCTGACCTATTCTTGTAGGTCTGATAATTCTTTATACCCCCCCCCCCCCCTCCACCCCATTAAGGAAATCTGGGATAATTCGGACAATAACCTGACCTATTCTTGTAGGTCTGATAATTCTTTATATCCCCCCCCCTCCACCCTCCACCCCATTAAGGAAATCTGGGATAATTCAGACAATAACCTGACCTATTCTTGTAGGTCTGATAATTCTTTATATCCCCCCCCTCCACCCTCCACCCCATTGAAGAAATCTGGGATAATTCAGACAATAACCTGACCTATTCTTGTAGGTCTGATAATTCTTTATATCCCCCCCACTCCACCCTCCACCCCATTAAGGAAATCTGGGATAATTCAGACAATAACCTGACCTATTCTTGTAGGTCTGATAATTCTTTATATCCCCCCCCCCTCCACCCTCCACCCCATTGAAGAAATCTGGGATAATTCAGACAATAACTTGACCTATTCTCGTAGGTCTGATAATTTTTGATGAGAAAAACCTGCTAATTTGATTGCATGTTTCCCCTTGAGAGAAATATCTGGTCCTTATGTATGAAGTTTAACATGTAAAACTTGACAGTTTGACAGTATGCCAGCCAATTTGTTGTGTGATACTGTTTGATTGATCATAGAGTAACGTGTGATCATTTGATGATTGTTGTGGTAAAAAGATGGACACTGTGTGGGTGTCCTTATATGTTAGTTTTACATATAACAGATTTCTTGGCCTGGTTCCACACAGTTCTTTTGTCTAAATGTATTGTATTTTAATACAAATGTTTGGACTTTCTTGCCATCATACATAAAGCCTCTTTTCAGTATCTAGACAGAACAGTACTTCTCTTAGGTAACAGCTAGTGTTCTGGTGTACATCTGCCTTTGAACTTCTTGAATAAGTCGCAGATGTTACCTTCTAGGAGCCATCCTCCCTTTTAACATGTTTTAATTTAGTCGGTCTAGTATACTGCTTTGGTACAAAACCTTCAGAATTAGAAGTAATGCAAAGAAGTAATGCAAATGTTCTCATGATACAATATGCATGTCAATACAAGACTATCAAGCTGTCTTCTAAACTAAAGGCTTTTTTTGGTGAATTTAAATGTTTTAAAGACACTGAGAGAGCAAAACTCATATAATTTTATTTTTTAATCATTTTAAGCATGTTTCATCTTTGACATTTGAATAAGGTTTCATATAAAGGACAATAAATGTAATTGAACTAGTTATAGTTGTTGTATGGTCACAGTTGAAACTAAGCGTTTTGAAATAGATTCACTCAGCTTCAGATTGAACACTCCTTTGTACTAATTACCTGGATTTTTAGTGAGACCTTGTGTATACTATTGGATCCACAGTTAGTTCACTGGGATTTCCACAGAAATTTATTCTTAGGGACATTGTGCCTCCACCCCCAGAAGTGGTTCCAACTTCAGATTGTTTGGAGTATTTTTTTTCTACCATCAATATCTTTTTGTTTAGCTTCATAATATTTGACATATCTAACACAGGTCAATGTCGGGGACGATACTGTTTTAGATAAGTTTAAAAGTTTTCTGTTGCCTTGGTGTACTTTGTTTTATGATATTACACAATTTACAGGTAGGTACTGTTTATTAACATGTTTTCTGTCGATGGCACCTGTTGAAAATTCCAAATATCAACACACTGGAGATTTGAAGGCAGATAATATCTTGTTCTTTACCATATTGAAACACTTACTTTTGTTTTGATGGGATTTGAAGAGCACTTGAAGGGCAGTATCTCTTTCCTATTGGCTTGTTTAATGTGTCATGATAATGGATTTTTACATTATTTATCATATTGAGGACCCAAACAAAAACAACAAGCAAATACCAACATGTCATCATAGTCATAAGTAGAGATAAGGATAAAAAGATCATGTTTTTGACATATCTTCACAGCAATATGTTTGATACTGTGAAATTTGTCTATAATCACACCTGAGTATGCCAATATCAAACCTCACAACAAATTGTATCATTTGTTTGATCAAGAAACTATCAGTAAAAACCAGCATATTTAAACATCGCAACTAACAATCAGACCTAAATGAATGGCCAGATCTGTGCTTTTGACTGTTTTGAAGTGGTAGGTGTTATTGAGATTATATTTGTTTTGCTCATAATACAGAAATCACTGTCAGACACATCACCAGGAGTTCTACACCATGTGATATACAGGTCACTGTAGCCTATATTTTCTGCTTCACTGACTTTGGTTAGACTTAGCGTTTTGCTCCACTACCATCAAAGTGGGAGCCAGGGCAATGTGTGGTTTACAGACATTTTCATCTTTCTTCTGTACTCTATGTACTGCATGTGTCTGCTAAATATATATCCCAACATTGGGGAAGTTAATCATTAGCTCACTGATACAGCTGCTGTTGATCCTACAGCATTGATAGGAAAACTGATAAAAATCTACCGAGATTGGTGTGGGACTGGAGATTACTAGTGGGAGATAAGGAAAGTATTATGATTAATGATGTAGAAGATAGGGAGACTGAGAAAGGAAAAATAGGGTTAATGTATGCTATATTAATGGTTTGGAAGGTATAAATAGAGATGATAAAGGGGTACAAACCATTAGGGAGATGGAAAAAAGAAAGGTGTAGATAAACAAAGTGTGACAGAATAGAAAGGAAAGTAGTAAGGAGAGAGATAAAGGATGGAAAGACAGAAGGATGAAGAAGATATAGATATATATAACAATAAGGA